TGGCGCTTGTCGCGCGGTAAAACTCGAGGACGTGCCGGCTAAGTTCCTGCTTAGCGGATGCTTCCGCTTAAACGATGTTTCCGTGGCGCACGCATGCGAGACCGCCGTTCAACGGAGGCGTTCCAAACCTCCCCCTCCAATCCCCCTCGACGCTGTTCGCCGTAAATTGGGCCGAGGTATCGGCGACAGAGATGTATCTGTGGAAAGATGGGGGAAGAGGGAGAGAGAGAGGGAGAGAGACGGCGACGTGTCGGGTGATGGTTTCGTCTTGGAAACTACTCCCCTCGACAATGGGGAAAATATTAAGTCGGCGAGAGACAAGTGAATCCGTGTAAGTTGAGTTACTTCACGAGGTGGAAACCGGTGTTGGAAATGCGAGGATATTAATAAAGTTGGGTGCGATGTTCGCGATTCGTGGAAAGTATGATTGGGAGTGATGGGTTTTTTTTTTTTTTTGAAAGCGTTCGAAGAATTATTTAATTCTTATATAAAATTATTACAAGGCGATTTTTTCGCAAAAACAGAACTCGAGAAAGATCGGCGTTCATTGCAACAATTGAGTGCTTTCACGGTGTTTATTGAAAAAGAAACTTTTCTCAAAATTTAATTCACATTTAATTACACTTTGGAATGAAATAATATTACAGAATATAATAATATGATATAATTGTGTGATAATAATAACTGTTAATAATGGCGAGAAACAAATGATAAAAACAAAGTATCGATGTACAATAACTCCAATTATCGTACAATATTTATACAGAGCGATTATAGTCGCCCATAGAATATCAGTTTATCAGATATTTTATGTAGAATTTTAGTACGCCAGTGGAATTTTATGACTATAGTCGCCCGTAATAATCAAAGGGTTGAACTCCTTTATATACGACTTTTCGGGAAATTTATCGAATTGTTTCGATAAAAAGATTTTTGAAATTTGGATAATCAAATTTTTGAAAAACGATCATATCCTCGCGTACAATAATTCAACACACTCATCGTCCAATCAATCAATAATAATAAAATGTACCAAAATTTAATCTGCCAAAACAACCCCCTCGATCTGTCCAATTTTTCTATCCAAGCAAGAGGTAATCAACAATGAGGTAACCAAGAGCAATGAAAAAGAAAAATAGCTAAACAGCTCGGAAAAATTTCGAAATTATCGAAAGAAGGCGATAAGATTAAGAGAAAAAGAAAAGAAAGAAAGAAAAAAATGCAACTTTTGCTCGGGCCTTAGCGATACGTGAGGGGAATTTCGAGCTTTGAATTTTCGTGGCCGGCCCCTTTCGTGGACGTTGAGACGCGGCACGTTACATGCAAATTTTCGTCGAGCAGGGACGACGACCAACTTTACAAAGGGAAGGGC